GAGAAAGACGTGAGAGCTGAATGCTGAGGAGACTGCCTTGACTGAATTCAGTCTGATTTCAGCCTTAGCTGAGAGCAGTTTAACATAGACAGGAGAACTGGGGGAAAGCTGGCAAGGAATTTGGGGTGTAGGTGAAGACTCCCATTTGGGCCAAGGAAAGGGGATAAATCTTCTAGAGAGAAAAGAATTTCCCTGCCCAGTCAAACAGGGAGTTAGCTCTGAAGAGTAGAGCAATCCTTCGGTCTGCTGTGGTTAGAAACTGACTTTAGAGACATTAAGAGTCAGTTAAAACCTCAAGATGAGTACTGATGTTTCAAGAGAAGGGAGTTTAGGCACTAGAAAGAGTGCACCAGCCTTCTGGAAACAAAACAAAACAAAACAAAAAAATGTTAGCGAATACTCAAAGAAAGTATACTGGAGTGCTTGGGAGAAACATTGAAACAAAAGCCTGTCAACACAAAGATTTTAAGTAACTCTGAATAGCTTAAGAAACTCTCATTAGCCTGAAACATAAGAACTAAAGTCTGTGTGTGTATTCTCCAAGAAAGAAGAAAACAGATAACTAAGGTGGCTCAGTCACAAAAGGGAAAGGAAAGCAGAGGGAAAATCTTGCCGGGGGGGGGGGGGGGGGTGGAGTGGATGGGGCAGTCATAGCCATCAACTTAATTTTATTTTTGAAGAAGAATCTCATCTATATTGAGATAACATACTAATTATTTTGATTATGTGAAAATAATTCCTTATTTGTTAATTTTTAAGTATGATTGTATCAATTATACAAACTTTGAGTCCAGTCCAGTGGCACCTTTAAGATCAACAAAGTTAAATTCTGGGTATAAGCTTTTGTGTGCATGCACAGAATTTTAAACTTTGTTGGTCTTAAGAGTGCCACTTGACACAAACTTAGTTCTATTGCTTCAGAACAGCACAGCTACTTGCCAGAATCTGTGTAAATTGTAATAACCATTGTTCTCACATTCATAGAAATTGTTATACTGTTTATAATATTGTACATTGATGTTAACTGTGCCCAAAGATTAGATGTTGTTGTTGTTATTTAGATTTATTAATTGCCCTCTCCCAGGTTACGCCGGGCTCTGGGTGATGTACAAGGCATGATGCCATAAAATATACGAAAGCATTAAAATTCAGTATATAACTTAATAAAATTACAATAAAGAATAAAAGATCCAAGATGGCAGTTTTCCTATAATATTATTTGTTCCAATTCTGGACTTCTGGCCCCTTTTCTGGGCAGGGGGAAAGAGAACGCAAAGCAAAAAAGGAGGGGGGGAGGAAGGGTGCCAGCCAATGAGGTAAGTGTTGCTGTCCTCAACCAAAAGCCTGGCGGAACATCTCTGCATTACAGGCCCTGCGGAATTGCATAAGGTCCTGCAGGGCCCTGATGTCATTTGGTAAAGAGTTCCACCAGGCTGGGGCCAGAACCGAGAGGCCCTGGCCCAGGACAGCCAGACATCCCGGGGCCAGGGATCACCAGCAAGTTGCTATTTGAAGAGTGCAAGGCTCTCCTGGGGACATACCGGAGGAGACGGTCCAATAGATATGGTGATCCCAGAGTGCTCAAGGCCTTCAGTGCCAGAACCTTGAACCTGACTTGGTACTCCACTGGAAGCCAGTGTAGCGGACACAGCACTGGTTGTATATGTGATGTCTGTGATGTTCCTGTCAGGACTTGCACTGGATCAGCTGGATTTTCTGGGACAGTATCAAGGGTAGGCCACTGTAGAGTGAGTTACAGTAGTCTAATCTGGAGGTGACCTTTGCATGGGTTACCATGGCTAGATCAGGGCGTGATGTGAAAGGAGCCAGTTGCCGGGCTTGGCGAACACGGAGGAATGCCTACCTGGTAACATGCATGACTTGGGCCTCCATTGATAAGGAGGCATCCAGGGTCACACCTAAACTCTGGATGGATGGTGCCGGTGTCAGTGGTGCCCCATCAAGGGCTGGAAGCCTGGACTCCAATCTCGAAGACCCCTCCCCAGCTACAGAACCTCCATCTTCATTGGATTCCGTCTTAGCTGCTCTTTTTTAACCATCCCACCACGGCCTCCAATTCCTTAGCCAGATTTTGTGGGTGGTAGCCAGCTGGCCATCCAATAACAGATATTGCTGGGTGTCATCGGCATATTGATGACACCCAAGCCTAAACCTCCTTGTCAATTGGGCGAGGGAGTGCATATAGATGTTATATAACATCGGGGAGAGGAGTGCTTGCTGAGGAAACCCGCATAATAAGGGTTTCTTAGAGGACACATCCTCACCCAGTGCCACCCTCTGTCCCCAACCATGGAGGAATGAGGAAAGCCATTGACGGGCTACCACACTCTGTTCCACTCTCTGTGTTACTAGCATCATTCATTTTATACTTTTAGTATTATTCATAAGAAGCATCCCAAAGCAAATGCCTGTTAAAATTTAATATGCCTTGTTTCCAGTCTCTATTATGAAACTCCCCCCCCCCCTGCTTAAGCCTCATGGTCAAGAAAAGCATATTAATCTTCTTTAATTATGAACTCAGTCAAATATGCATTGCACTGGTCTTGAAATTGAATGTTTTGTGTGAAGAGCAAATACATTTCTACTGAACCGGCATTCCCACCCCCAATTCAACACTTCTGTTAATGCAGAAAAACCACTTCTATTGAAAAGGAAATAGGAAAAGTATTTCATTAAGGCTGCTGTGTCTTGAGAAAAGTAATTTTGATAATAGTTTGTTAAAACCGACTCTAAGAATGTTAATGTGCTAATTGAAAAACTGATTGTTGGAAAGTAAAGTGGAGTGAAATATACTTTTTTGGTGCAACTCAGCTGGATTGTGCTAATATCACTAATATCTGGAGAAAATGTGTAGTTGGCTTAAGCACTTTGCAGTTCCAAAGGAGAACTTGACAGGTGCTGAATGTGTAAATCTATTATATTAGCCATTAGTACAAAGTGAAATTCACTCATGGATGCTGGGACACAATTCATAAAAAAATGTACGTTTGTCCTTTCAGAAGAAACCCATTCTTGACGTAGATGCATGGGCTTGCTGAAGGCAACAGAATGGGGGGAAGGAATTACAATTGCTTTTCTAGGAGTATATTTACTCCGTTAGGGTATTTCCAGCAGGTTTCCTCAAAATGGAACAAATGGGAAGCCGGTGGTAAAGCAAGAGTGTAGGATGGGGCAGCAAGGGGAGAGGAAGGTAACTGGAGGGGGGGACCCCTAACAGAGGTTGGAGTACACTGTTGGGATTGATGTGACCCAATTGTGTGTGTGTTTGAGGAGAGGAGAAGATTTCCCAGGAACTATCTAGAGATCAGAAATATTGAGCTGAAATTTGGTTATAGACATTTGGGAGGTTCTAGATTAGGAAAACGTACTCATTTTTATTTCAGAATTATACCTGCATTCCAGTGTAACAGTTATTCTACTAAAAAAAGAAAAGAAGTAGGTGACACATTCTGAACCCCTATAAACAACTTGCTCTTCATTACACTCTAAAGAATTCATAAAACTCATTGTTAGGTGTTTTGGTGCCATGGGGAAAATGGCAACATGCTGCGTGCCACTCATGCCCTAGTAAAGCCACCCTTCATGTATTTCCCCCCTTCTTGACTAGCATCCCTTCCCTATATATTTGGTGGTACCTGTGTGATGTTGACAGCCAGTGTGGTGTAGTAGCTACAGTGCTGGAGTAGGACCTGGGAGACCCAGGTCCATATCCCTACGCTGTTATGAAATCTGTTGGGTAACCTTGGGCCAGTTGTACTGTCTTGTACTAACCTACCTCACAGGGAAGGGAGAATCATGTACACTCCTCTGAGCTCCTTGAAGGGGGGCTGAAATAGACATGAATTAGACAGCCTTCTGGTTCTAGAAGATCCTTTTTTGTCTGCTGGTAGGGTTAACCCTGATAACATGAGCCCCTCAGTGTGACATTATGTTCCCACCACTGAAGAATGTATTTATTTTAGATTTTTTTTTTAGCCACTCTTCCAGGAACCTGCCTTAGGCAGCTTACAAAACATAAAATAATAAAATAGAACTTTAAAGGAATTAAACCGCCAGCATTCAAAAAACCGGCTCGGCGCGCAAACATGGACCATAAATAATGACCACTGGCGGTTTAAAACAAGAGTGTTCAGACTAAAACAGTATTCAAAAAAATCAACCCCTTAATTAAAAGCCTGGCTGAACAGAAACATTTTGGCCTGGTACCTAAAAGAAAGTGACATAGGCATTCCAGAGATAAGGTGGTGAAAGTGAATATTACGGTAGTACCATGGATGCATTTTCCAATAAGCCATTGAATGGCAATCCAAATTTGGCAAATCTGCCAATGAGGTGATTATGAAGAAGCCCACCATGTGTCTGACCCATTCAGATAAGGCAACAAAGAATCCTGTCACGTGGCTGTGAGAGCAAGGGTCTTTTGAGAAGGCTCTGGCTGCTAATCTCGACTCAAAGAATGGAGTGAAGAGCAAAATGCAATATTTGCAGAGGATGAACGCAGAATCTTTGCGCAGAGACCATATTCAATTAGAAAACTAGCCTCAGAGCATTAAAGAGATGCCACTTACTCAATCTACACTGTAGGTTTCTCCAAGCAACCATTAATTGCAAGGCAAACTCTGAAAAATTATTTCTTCAGATAATTATGGAGGAAATGAAAATACATTGCCATTTTTTTCCCTGGGATAATGGTAGGGAGGCAGTCGCTGTCTTTCCATCCTTCCGAGCTTTTTCAGGAACAAAAAATATTTCCCAGTTCCTTTAGGTTCCCTGGTTGCCCTGGAGACAACTGCATTGTCTTGGCACTCCAGAGTATTGGCAACAGCTAATAGATGTCTTTGAACCAGCTCCTCTGTATTTACATTTCTGATTGTGTTAGTTCAACTGTATTAAATTCCTTCAAGTATAAATAATATGACATATTGTTATCCAAAGCAGCAGATGTTGCACTAACAAGCATATTTTTCTAATCTGAACAGGGAGAAGCAGAAAGCGAGACAAGTGCCAGAATACAGAACTGTATCCTCAAGTTGAAACAGAACAGTGTCCTTGCTCAATATTTACCACCTGGCCCTATGGAAATTGGTCTGAATGCATTATTTCTTCTAGAAAAACAGAGCTACAGTCAGAAATGAAGTTTCATGGACATGCCAAAGAGTGTGGAGAAGGTGTGCGATTCCGAGCTCTTACCTGCTATGATAAGACTGGCAGACTTGTGGAACCTTCTCACTGCAACCATTCAGGTAAGATGGCATGCCATGTCATGTGTGCAAACAAGTGAGGCGTAGAATCAGCCTTTTGGAGAACAGAAGGAAAGGAGACTGAGCTGGAAAATGCCTGAAAGCAATCCTTGTCAAACTCTCTCTATCCTCAAAAGTCTCCTAACATGTTTCCCCATTTCAGTCAGATCACGGGAAGAACGAAGAATAGAACACATCTTGGGTCAAGGATGTAGGCTGTCATACTCGCAGTGTCCCCAACCTTTCCTCAAATGATCAGCCAGTTTGAGTGGGAGAGTTTTCCTGTCCAGTATTTTCTGGAAATTAGGGGGGAAAAGGTTGAACTGACTTTCCACTGAAATTAGTGATAGCAACCCTTAACAGTGTACTGATTCCCTGACATCAAGTCTTTCCTCTGTGCAGGTGATAAGCTGTCACTGAATCATGTCTAAGTTTCTTAGGTTTTTTCTTCTTCTTTAAATACTTATCAGAAAAAGAGGGAAAGTGCTCTGTGGAATCTGATAACACCACCACCAACAAAATATCTGGGTGTGAGTATCCCTAAACGCCAGTCAGGCAGGAGTTGTGAGTAGTAAGTAATCTGTTGTTCAGTTCTGCCACACCATACTAGACCTCGTTTTACAAGTTTTGCAAAAGAGTATTGTAACAAAGGGACATCTCCATTTTGTGTTATTTTTAATAATAGCTGTGCAGTGCTATCTCTCAGACTTAAACAGGGAAGCAAAACATAATATAAAAAAAGATTCACAGCAGAATTGTTTTGCTATTATGTAAATATGAATTCCTCCTGGCCTTCCTATCTGCTTGACAGGAGTCATACCTGACAACAAATGTACTGATGGTTCATCTTGTCCACCCCCAGCTTCAGTCAATTATCCTATCTTTAAAAAAATTATGAAAAGGAAATTTAAAGATGGTGTGTGTTTGTTTGTGGATGGGTGGGTGGGTGGGTGTGAGGGAGGTAAGTACTGTTTGAAGAGTGTTCAAATACTAAAGGCCTTGTTGTGGTGGGGTGGGGGTAGAGAGGGGGACTCTGAGGCAATTGCCCACTGAACTGAAGAATGTCTGATCCCCCATTCTGGCCTCTCCTAAGGATTCTTTAAACCCCACCCACCCACAATCAGGTAAAAAAGGGAGACACAAGTTTTGAATAAAGGGTTGGTAGTGTGTAAGCTATATGCTTTCTAAAGGTACTTTATTTGGGAACCTGCTAGACCAAGAATGGACCACTGGATACTCACCGTAAAGGGTCCATCTCCTCTGAAGAAAGGAGGACATCCTGATATGGTGATTCCCACTGTCCAATCAAGGGAGACAGGAACTAATTTTCAACTTCCTGTCTCCATCTTGTAGGAGCCACCCCCTTCAGTTTGGTGACTCTGAGAGCAGTTAAACTACAATACTAACTATGAAAAGAGGGAAAATAGGACAGCAAGACAGTGACACAGGCAAAAAAACACAAGTTAAATTAATTAGGCTGAGACAAGAAGAGAACCTGTCTACTGGTTTCTTGATTATGACTTTGGAAGAGACAAAACGTCCTCCTTTCCTCAGAGGAGAAGGACCCTTCACGGTGAGTATCCAATTATCCATTCTCCCTTAAGATGGAGGATATCTTTATATGGGCCTCCCAGAGCATTGCCCTTGATTATTGGGCAGGTCAGACTCATCATAACTGAGAATGTTCTGTAGCACTCTCCTGTCAAAGGCAACATCAGCAGAACTGCCTCTGTCAATTTTGTAATGTCTGACAAAGGAGGATAAGGAGGACCAGGTTGCTGCTTTACAGACTTCCTCTACCATTGCATACCTGATGAATGCAACATTGGTGGCAGCACTCTTGACTGAGTGAGCTATGATGCCTGGCAGAATGGGAATTCTATGAGGTCTGTATTGTTTTGCTGATATGGAGACTGTGTTGTTCTGAGCACCTCAGTGTGATCTCACTGGTACTTGGCCTGCGCCTATCTGGTGTTAGGGGGGATTGTGTTTAAAGGCATCAGGGAGGCTGGGCCAGCAGCAGGGCTAAGGCAATCCTGCTGAGCAAACCTCCCCGATGGCTGTAAGCATCCCACCTCCTCTCCTACACCTGACAGGCAGCTGCCTGTCCAGTGTAGGAGGGGGAGGAGTATTAGAAGCCACTGTGGAGGCAGGGCTGGCAGGATCACTAAGGCATTACTGCTGAAGCGGGCTCCCTTGTGGCTTTAAGCACCCTGCAACTGCTGCTGCACCTGACAAACTACCGCCTATTCGGTGTAGGAGGCGGGGGGGCATCTAGGAAGCCATCAGAGAGGCTGGGCCAGCAGCATTGCTAAAGTGATCCTTCTGGGGCGGGACCAGGCAGCCAATAGCAGCACCAGACTGAGCTGCTGCCTAGGTTAGGTGGGTCCAGCAGCCAGCCTCCAAACCCAGGGAAGAGCCTGCAAAGAGAGAGCACTCCTTCTCTGTATATAAAAGAGAGCAAAACAAAGGGCTCATGGCAGCTGATGATGATGGTGGACAAGATGGAGGACACCATGTGATGCATACCCCTGTCCCGGGAAGCACCATTGAACGCAAGCCTGACAACGTCACTGTTACCTTACCATACTGAAATATTGGTCCCTTTGTTAGTAAACACATTTTTCCTTAGCTCTTCACTTTACTGTTGTTGTTTTTAAGCAAATCCCTTCCCTTTTGTGTGTACTCATGTAAGTTTTCTGCTTTTTTTCTCATTTGGGTTTTTATCATGCACTGCCTCCTTCCATCAGCACTATATCCTCAGTGGGCAAAGATAGCTTGTTAGCTTTACAGTTGTGCTGTTCAGGTTTATTGCAATTAGAATCCAAGTAGAAAAGCCGAGCACAAGGAAATAAAATATAAAGATACTCTGTACTCGAGAAGTTCATTGCAGTATAGCAATCTCATTCTTGCACTGACAGAAACTTCATGGAAGGTATCTTTTTGAGAGTCATTGTACTCTTCTTCAGGTTTTTGCCTTTTCAGACTGTTGTTGTTGTTGTTCAGTCGCACAGTCGAGTCCGACTCTTTGCGACCCCATGGACCAGCTCCCTCCAGGCCTTCCGGTCTTCCGCCATCCTCTGAAGTTTGCTCAACTTCATGTTCGTTGCATCGATGACACTGTCTAACCATCTCATCCTTTGCCGTCCCCGTCTTCTTTGACCTTCAATCTTTCCCAGCATCAGGGTCTTCTCCAGTGAGTGCTCCCTTCTCATTTGGTGGCCAAAGTATTTTAGCTTCAGTTTCATTATCTGGCCTTCCAGGGAACAGTCAGGGTTGATTTCTTTGAGGATTGACTGATTTGTTCTTCTTGCAGTCCAAGGGACTCTCAAGAGTCTTCTCCAGCACCATAGTTCAAAAGAATCTATTCTTCGGCGCTCGGCCTTCCTTATAGTCCAACTCTCGCAGCCATACATGACTACAGGGAATACCATTGCTTTGACCATGCGGACTTTTGTTGGCAGGGTGATATCTCTACTTTTTATCATGCTGTTTAGGTTCGCCATCGCTTTCCTCCCAAGGAGCAGGCGTCTTTTAATTTCATGACTGCTGTCACAGTCTGCGGTGATCTGGGATCCCAGGAACGTGAAGTCTGTCACTACTTCCACGACTTCCCCTTCTATTTGCCAAAGAGTCATGGGGCCGGATGCCATGATCTTAGTTTTTTTGATGTTGAGCTTCAAGCCCACTTTTGCGCTCTCCTCTTTTACCCTGAGCAAGAGGCTCTTGAGGTCCTCTTCACTTTCTGCCATCAGAGTGGTATCGTCTGCATATCTGAGGTTGTTGATCTTTTCCCCTGCAATCTTAATTCCTGCTTGTGATTCATCTAGGCCAGCATTTCGCATGATGTACTCTGCATATATATTAAATAAGCAAGGCGACAATATACATCCTTGTCGTACTCCTTTTCCTATGCGAAACCAATCAGTTGTTCCATATCCGGTTCTAACTGTCGCTTCTTGGCCCTTATACAGGTTTCTCAAGACTGTAAGGGGGGGGGGGAACGTGCACCCACAGTTTATTTATTGAGGAGGACCTCCCTATGTCTTTGTTGCCTGTTAACATTGTTAAGTAAAAAAAATTGAGAAGCTTGTCATGATGTTCTTCCAGCCGCTGTCTCTCTGTGGAAAGTCAAATGAAAAACACATTTTTAAAAATTGTCCCAGCATGGACTGGCCAGGACTTGGTCCAACCCCCGACACCCCACAGCACCCCTGTCAGCTGCCGCCTCCACACGCTGACATCCCCCCTTACCTGAAGGGATCCAGCATGGCCCCACCAGCCCCAACAAGAGGAGACAATGTTGGAGGTGAGGGTGGGAGGCCCCCTGGAGAAAGTGGTGGTAGTTTGTGCAGCTGTGCCAGGCCCCAGGTCCGTAGAGGATGCGGCAGCGCAGGGCTGAGGTCAGGCCAGGGGTCTATCAGGAGGGTGGGGAGGAGAGCAGAGGAAGCCATGGGAAGTTGCAGAGCTATGCTCAGCGAGGGTGGTGGCAGAGATCGCTGTCTGAGCCAGCCAGCCCAGGAGACGCCTGCATTGGCAGGCCCCAGGACTGTGGCCCCACCCAGGAACCCAGCTGAACATCTGAATTTAAGTACAGAGGTGGGGTTCAGTTGGGAGAAGGAGAGGGATGGGTGAAGAGGTGGGCTCAAGGCGTGGGAGTGATATAAAAGAGGGCTAAGTAACAGGGTCAAGGAGGAGACAGCTGGTAGCCAAGGACAGCCCAGAGAGAGAGAGTGAGTCAGCAAGGCACCCGCAGACCAGTGGAGGTGTGCTGATGCAACCCCACCCCCCTATCATATCTGAGTTCGTGGGTTCCCTCCACAGAAGGTGGAAGGTGCTGTGCCCTGGGACAACTTTCACGGGGAGCCGCTGGAGACTTCAGGGTGACAGCTAAAGGTGAGGGTCACCTGGGCAAGGAGGCAGGGACAGGGAGTGACATTTATTTGCCAAAACACTATCCAGTCTTATAAATTTAAAAGTCACTTTATATGATTATTATCTAC